CAACATTGTGTGTGATGTACTGGGCTGCACTTTTTTGGCAGTCTGTGGGCTTGGGTTGGGATCTGGATTTGGACGCTGAATGACATGTGTGCAAGAGGGACCTTTTCTTGTGGGGGTTGTTGTCTTACGGCGTACTCCCACTTAAACGTCACTGTATGTACCTGAGCTCAAAAGCGACCAGATTCGTTCTAGAAATTCTTGATTTGACCGCTCGTACGCCCTTGTCTTTACATGTGCCTGTGCATCATACAAAGGTCACTGTATGTATCTGAGCTGAAAGCCGACCAGATTCAAGCAAGGAAGTCTTGATTTGACTGCTCATATGCCCTTGTCCTTATATGTGCCCTGTCTCTTATACACATCTAGATGTGTATAAGAGACAGGTTGGAGAGAGGGCGAAGGGGGTTGGTCTTTTGGTGGGTGGGTTGCTGAATTTGCAGGTTATCGTCAGCGACGGCATAGAGCTTCCATTTGAAAAGGAGCTTGACTATAGCGAGTTTTGCATCTTCATATCTGCCGAAAAGGCGATCAAGCGGGGTGCAATCATCAATACTCTCAAAGCGATTCAACCAGATCAACTGCAGAAATACCAGAATAGGTTACGTGAGGTAGGTGCCAAAAGTACTGAACAAGCACTGAAAACGAACTGGAGGATCTGTGAAAAAGCACGCTGAAGAATCACACTTTCAAAGCCCTGAAAAAGCACGCTGAAATAGCCATGAGTCAGTGCTGACAAAGCACTGAAAAAGCAGTGAAAAAGCACCGAAAAAGCACGCGAAAATAGCTCTCAAAATAGCACTCGAAAATAGCACTGAAAATAGCACTCGAAAATAGCACTGAAAACAGCACTGAAGATAGCACTAAGACTAGCACTGAAATAGAACTGAAATAGTACTGAAAATAGCACTGACGATAGCACTGTAACGTACGTACGTTGTATTCGAATACAACGTACGTATGTTGTTCGAATACAACGTACGTATGTTGTATTCGAATTTTGGAACTTCGATTTTTCAAAAATAATCAAAAAAATCCGAAAAAAATAAAGTGTTATACAACAATGTAATACAAACAACGTTTGCCTGAGGGTCTTATCGAAATTCACGAGCAAATTCGAGAAACAAAATAAAAACGAGGAAAATGTTTTTTACTGATTTTTTGAATTTTTTTCAGAATTTCGACTTTAAAAAAAAAGTTCAGTAAAAAATCTGAAAAAAAAAGTATGTTGTACAACATTGCAATGCAAACAACTTTTGCCTGAGGGTCTTGGCGAAATTCCCAACCAAATTTGAGATTAAAATAAAAACAATGGTGGTACTACAGGCTTCTGAAAAGTTGTACTAACTATGCCCGTACGTTGTATTCGTATACAAGGTACGTACGTTTTTTGGGGGTTAAGAAGGTAGCACTGAAATAGCACTGAAACTTCTCTGAAGGGGCGGGCCCAACGAAGCCATAAAGCAAATAGCGGGTCTCGCATGACACTCCCACACGAGACCAGCCTTGCAGTGTCAGGAAATCTGCCAGGACAAGGGGCGAGCCCAACGAAGCCAAGAGCGTACTGCTGTTTCCAATTCGTGGCGGCGCATGTTCGAATACAAGCACATAACGCGGCGACGACGTGCAGGGTCGTGGGGTTTGTTTTCCGGAGAGTAGATTCGTTGTTGTCTTTTTTTATCACTAGATTCGTTGGTTTGTTTTAACTTTTAATGCATCTTTGTATGTTGTATCAGAAGATTCATTTCAAATTTTGCCCTGGTGAGTAGTGAAGCGAGGCCCAATCTCGCAGTAGTACTCGCATGGCCGAACTAATCACAATATGTGGTACTCTTAGGGCCCAACATCTAACCACGTGGAGTCGTTTTTTAATTTTTTTTCCAGTATATATATATTTTTTCTATTGGCTTTGTGTGGCGATGCTATGCCACAGCCAGCGGGAACCGGTTCCCCCCGCGCTCCAGGCATTTCTGTGGCGTTGTGCTGCCTGTTTGTGTCCTAGACGAAGTCTGTGTTAGGGCATCGCCACACCACTCTCGAAATTCCGTCCCCCTACAATACGGGCAGATGCAGCCGCCGCATTTTAGTCTTTTTCACATCTGGAGAGAGGTGGGGCGAGGCCCTTAGTCATATGTTTGAATACATGTACATGGCATGGCCGAGTTGACGTCCCGTGCCTCCCCCCTCTCATTTCCCCGTTGCCGTGGAAAGCACCCGACGGCTGCTGCTGGCACTGGCTGTGCACTTCTTTGCTGGGCCCCTGCGTCTTCTGCCCTCCTCATGCTCCCCGCCGCATGTGCAGTGGGCATCCGCTTGTAAAAGTTAAAAAGCATACCGAAAAAAGCCGTAAAAAGCACTGAAGAAGCACTCAAAAAGCACACAGCATACCGAGAGGCCCTATGCTACCCTCACACCTCTCACTATCCCCCTCTAAATGTCTTCAGATCCCTCTCTCCTGTCACCCAACCTCTCCTACTAGATACGCTGCTGGGCGTCACTCTCT